GACGGACGTACATACATATAGTGACCAGTGAGTGTGACGGACGTACATACATATAGTGACCAGTGAGTGTGACGGACGTACATACATATAGTGACCAGTGAGTGTGACGGACGTACATACATATAGTGACCAGTGGGTGTGACGGACGTACATACATATAGTCATGTGGGAGTGTGACGGACGTACATACATATGGTCATGTGGCAGTGTGACGGACGTACATACATATAGTGGCGAGGGAATCTGACGGACGTGTATACATATAGTGATGAGGCAATGTGACGAACGTACATGCGTGCGGATTTTCTCTGGAATCAGAGAAGTGTGTTTACACCTATCGTGGCTGCGAGTGCGGACCGAAGGGACGCGGGAGCTATGTTCCAATTCAGAATTAGTTTTGTTCCATTGACCGTAAGTTTATGGCCATATGAAATAAAAAAAATGTGTTTGTGTGTCCGTACAGAGGTGTGCCGGACGTACATCCTCATAGTAACTAATGAGTGTGAGCGACGTAAAGCGTATTGTAGGTAGTCCCGTAGCGAACACCGCCCGAAGGGAAGTGTGAGCCTTGTTTGTGTTTCAAAGTCATCGGAGGCCGTTCAGTATTTCTGTGACGGACACGCATATCTACAAACTTTCTGTCCACTTCGATTTTTTAGTAATTCTCTATTTACAGGATCGAGTTACGATAGAATGAGTAATATTCCCTACACTACGTGCATTCGGCTTACAGTCAATGGACTTAGTGAATCGACGCGATTCACGTTATTTATATATTAAACTAGTTTCAATTACTAGGTATAATAACACAAGTGATACTTCGATTACAGCCTGCATTCCGTTATGTTAATCTTTACTACTCCCATTTTAAACATGTTGATCAAGTTATTCAGGAAATGGAGAAGATCTGTACCAGTGATAAGCAACCAGATTATTTAGAAGCATTGATTTTTAAACAAACTTCTATTATACTCGTTCAAGGATATCATACAGAGACTCAACAACAACGACAATTGCTGAGTTTTGCGAAACATTTCGATCCATGGTATTACAAAATAATAGAAAAATTAGCGTCTTCTTCGGATAACGTCTCTTCTATTTGTCATTGTGTACCTTATTATGATTATATATTTCGTTATAATTATGGAGCATTCTGGATGGCATCCTATCTTCTAGAACTTATACCCTTTGGACAAAGTAAATTATTTCAATTTTTATTTGGTTCATTGTTAACAACAAAGAATCTGTTTCGAGCAATTCATTTTGATAATAAAAGTATAATAGATTTAGCGAAATATAGAATTATTCAAGACATTTATACACCGTTCAATTCTACAAAGAAATTTTTAGATTATATTTTGAATGACATTGTTCTCTATCCAATATGGTTATGCCCGATTAAATGTACAAAAACGCCTCAATATTTAGCTTCTCATTATTCTCTTGAACATGAGTATATGATTAATATTGGCATTTACGGGCGACCACATAAATTTCCGTTTAATGTTAGTAAGATTAATAAAAAGTTTATCGAATTAATGATTGAGACGAATTCAAGATCAATGTTATATGCACAATGTTGGCACTCAGAAGATCAATTTGAAACACTCTGTCGAAATAGCTTAGAAAAGTATGAACAGATAAAAGTGAAATATAACTCACAGAATAAATTTTTTGATTTATTTGATAAAGTGACATTAAACGACAGAGAAAAAGAAGAGTTAGAAAAAACTATTGTTGAAAGTCTCAACAGTGAAAAACGGTTGTTGATGAATATTACTGGACAAACTGTCAAATTGCAAATAAAAGCCTTTTGTTAGTTTTAAAAACTGCGATAAAAAGTTCGACAAAGTCTTTGTTCTATTCCAGTGTCGGTGCAGAAGATTGACATTTGCTGGAATGCAATCTGGGCAAGGATTGGTAGCGTAGGGGCCGATGTGATTGGAGGTGGTGCTGGACTGAATCAACT